AGCACGCTGGGGCTCTATCTGTGGCGTTCCAAATCCAAGTTCCCCACTTCCAGAAAAGTTCCACGAGTTTGTGGCCCCTGTGACTTCCCCGCTTGACATCTCTTTAAAACACAGAGCAGATGTTAGCTCCTCTCTGTCCATTAATGACTTGCAAACACCTGGAGCGAACCACAGGTGGCTGAGATGATATCAATCTGGGAAAGTAAACATAAATACTCCAATATGCATCCAAGCACCCTTGTCTTAGGCAAACTGTTTCTTAATATCCCAGCAGGATGCAGGGTCTGAACAGTTTTTTTTTTTTACCTGTGATGACTGAAGCTGCCGTACGTCTTCTGTTGAATCTTACATGAACGTGTCATAGGGATGAAAACTGAGACAGATGGTGAGTAAAACTGAACTACGTCTCACTTTCTTTGGGGTTTGATGTAATCAAACAAACTGTTCCCATCACTCTCGTCATTCAAAGGACCCTTCAAACTTTGAATGACATAAAATACGAGGTGCAGTGTTAAGAAAACATGATAAACTGTTAAAGTGCCTGTGACATGCATATCTATGAAATACAAAAAGTCAAAGAAAATATATTTATATTTAAGAAACCTGGCACAATAAACATGATTTGACCCGTTATGTCACATAATTGACATGTTTTCTTTTGAATTTTGCTCAGCTAAAGTGAAACAGGAAGTGACGTCAAAGGGGAACTCTTTGAGAAAGAAAACTCCCTGGTTTCTGTTTACTGAGACAATATTATTTGAACTATGTCTCTCTCACCTCTCTATTATAGTGATTAAAATAATCTAAATAAACATCAGATTCAAACGCTCTGTTTACATTCAGACATTCCCCTTTGACATCACTTCCTGTTTCTTTACATGTGAATATCTCAACAACTGTTCATCTCAGCGGTATGAAATCTTTTTTTTACAATATGTTATCAATGTTATCGCTCCAAAAATACATTCATATTTATTATAAAAATTTGATGTCACAGGAACTTTAAATAATGTGTGATATACCATAATGGTATAACTAGGACAAGGAAGTAGAAGTAACGAAAAACGATTGCTCCACTAGCGGCTGGCTGTGGTACAGTTTTTAAGNGGTTGAGGCTGAAGCCTTTCTCAGGTCTCCAGACCATCACAGGGACACAACAACTATCCTCACTCCAGTCACACTGAAGAGCTCCAAAAGTGTTTCAAACTGGGAACTCTGGAATCAAATGCTGCTGCACAAAGTTTAAATTGCTTAATAATAATAATAATAAGAATAATAATAATAATAATAAGAAGAAGAAGAAACACTTCATATAATTTATTTTAGGTGTTTAAATTTTGTTGATTTACATAGTTCCTACTGTCATACATGCATTAAAAAACTAATTTTTATTTTTTAGTCATTTGAGGCTTACAAGGTGTCATATTACATTGTGATTGACAGTCCCAGCCTCTTAGTGAGTTAGGAGGATGTTTAGGTGAGATTTTTATTTTTTAGGGTACAGCCTCACATTTCTTATACACAGCCTCTGGCTCCAAAGATACTACAGCGCAACACCATAAAAAAACAAACAAACAAACAAAAATATTTTGGCTTCAGTTTTGGACAGCGGATGCTAATGGAGTCACTTGGTCCATTTCTATTGATGTTGATGGGATAAACCCACATTTTCATCTTTTATCTTTTTGCCAGGCATCCATTGTAAATAAGGAATGAAGGTTCAAATAAAATGTCCTCCAACCTTAAGAGCATTTATTATGTCTGATAATTGCCTGTGACATCAGTGTGGATGAAGACATTTATGAAGATATTTTTAGAAACAACTATATATACAGTATATAGGGTTATATGTTTGTAAAACTGATGAGGTATCTACCATCTAAATCAGTTGTGGGCTTTAGAGTACTTGGAGTCCATTTAACTGAGTAAATATAATACTGGCATGAAGATTTATTGCAGTATTTTGTAATATTGATATTACAATGACAATAAACTCACAATATATTGCTCAGCTCTATAATAAAATACATTACTCTGTCCACCTACATGCACAGAGGCAATTACTCTTCATTAACATCTGTAGCTTTTTCATGCTTTATCAAAACTGTAAATAAAACTGCAGTAAAAGTTGTTTTGATCAGAGGGAATGTGAAGCTACAAAGCGAGTAACCATAACTGTCCAAACAAAGCCTTAAGGTGCTTTTGAAGTCAACATCCAATTACAACACCAGTGGCTCAGACGGACCCCAATTAAGCCCACATCACAATGTAAGATGACAAGGAGCCGATGAGACAACAAAAGAAAGAAAAAAAGAGGAGAAAAGGAGAACAACCAGGAGCAGGAGAGTAAAAAAAAAAGCCAAGAGTCTGAAACACTAGTGAGTTACTCCAGGGGGATCATTTGACCCTTGATGACTTCACCTGATATCAATATCTGCCTCTCTCTCTGTTTCCAGCACACATCAAACACTGTGACGAACAGCGACAGTCACAGATGGGCTTTCCTTTTAGAGAGCAGCTTTGAGTCAGTGGGGTTTCCTCCTGAATGCCAACATGTTTTTTTTAACTGAGCTGCTAAAAGAATGCAGCGCTCTGCTGGGATGAGCAAACGGGGATGTGACGGTCGCGAGGCGCCGCAGAAACACGACGGCTGCCAACTGAAAACGTGTGAGAGAAAGTTGATCGAGAGCAGGAAACATAACAAGATGTCAGTCTTTTCATTTGGTGGTTCTCCAACTAGAAATGTGTCACGGGTAATTATCAGACACAATAAATGCTCTTAAAGGTTGGAGGGATTGCGTGGGATGTTTTAAAAAAATAGCAGAGCATTACTTAGCTGTGACACAACATGAAAATATAAAAAATCAGCTATGTGATGTGGCTTTCTGCACCAGTTTATTGCTTTATGTTATAAAAGTGAGTAATTTAATCATGTGTGTCTGTGTGAGTTTATCTGTTAGTAAAATATCTTGTGAGCTAACGATGCAAGTTATCAATTAATGAATTAATCTAAAGTTGATTGATCTTATCGATCGACTAGCAATTAATTGATGAGCAGCCATTTTCTTAAAAATCTGAGTTTTCTCTTGTATCAACAGGGTCTTTCCTTAGCATGGAGGGTTAATCTTTTATAATATGCTGACTTAAGAAAAAGGAGCAGATCAATATTTGTTTACAATTTATTTTGCCAGCTGTATTAAATACTGATTGAATAAAAAAATGTGGATTTCTCACAAATTATTAAACTGGACATTTTCATAAAATACAACAAAACAGAAATCTATTAGGCTGCTGGATGTGGGGGTGGGGGAGACGGATGAAAATAATTACATATGATTTTTAGGTTGAAAACTATTATTAATTTTTCATAATTAGAATTTACATTAAGAATTTATGTTTTTTCTCTGATTCTAGAGGAAAGTGTATCTACCTGGACCCCAGGTGTTTTCTGTGGCTGGAACATTAACACCCTACAGTTTTCCAGAGCTCAGAACTGATTCTTGGTACTACCGGCCCAGTAAGTGTAGTTCTGGAGCAAGTACCCTCTTCCTCCCCTACTGAGGCAGACCTCCGAGTGTTTTTTTCTTCGTACTGTAGATTTTTTGCTGCTCGACAGATAGCTTTAGGCCTCGATCAGGAAAAAGATTAGAAGGTTTTTAGAGTTTCAGCCCGAGAGAAGGAGGAAGCTGATGGTGGATCAAGGTGTTTTTTCCATAGGAACGTGTTTCCTGCTAGCAACCCGACTCGCATTAAATCAGACCATCGTTTTAAGAAAATAAAATGTGGCGTATGCTATTTACAGCGGGTGAAATAAGTATTCTGACTCAAATTGAAACAGAGTCTCAGAGAAGGCGGATCTTTCCGGTTACAGCGATTTAAATGGACCATGTGACGCACCAGTGGATGTTATCGATTGGAACGTATTTTATTTAATCTAATAAACCCCTATTTGACAATTAATCGTTAGTTGATTAATTGTTTGCATCCTGATTGTGAACCATCAAATGATTTTTATTGAAATGTTCAGGAAATAATTATTCTAACATAAAAACTGTTTAACCTTTGTAGTCAATCTTTTGAAAGCAAACAACTCATTTTATTTTTAAAACATTGAGCCAAAACTTGAGGTGCGACTGATTGTCATCACATTGACTGCTATAAAATAAAAAATCAGATCTTTGTTTAAAACTCAGACATGCAAAGCAGCAAGCAATATGCATTTATTCAAGGAATATGAGTTAGAATCAAAACATTTCCTCCAGCTTCGGTTCAAAATAAAAAAATAAAACTTGAATCCTGCATCCAATTGTCACCCTGAATCTAAACTCAACACTGTACACTTTGAAATGATCAGCTTTTGTGTTTGAAGCGTTCAAAATTCGCAAATCTCCACCGTGTTTTTCAAGGAAAAAAAATCTACAAATAAACACTTCAAGAATCCCATGTATCCACAAGGCCCTGACCCATATTCTTTAATCCTCTTCCAATAGGGACATGAGAAGCGATCTTGTTCATCCTCTCTCTTTTTTTTTCTTATTGGGACTGTGGATGAGGGAATGTCTGTACATCAGAAAATAGGACCAGAAATAACAAAAGTGTCACATCAGTCTTTCATCAAGGCTCGTATTTCAACACTGCCTTGCATCATCTGCGCTTCGGTGAGAGCATTGTGGCAGAAAATAAGCCTATTCATATGCGGAGTGATTACTGTGTGTGTGTGTGTGTGTGTGTGTGTGTGTGTGTGTGTGTGTGTGTGNGTGTGTGTGTGTGTGTGTGTGTGTGTGTGTGTGTGTGTGTGTGCATGTGTGGCATTAAACAGGCCTTGGTAATAAATCTGATCGCTGCTACGACAGTATAAATATAGCCAGGGGATTTGGTCATGTTAGATGTTCCAGTTTCATTGCATCAGACAGTTTAGGCCAAGTTTTTTTTTTTTTTTTTGCCTGAGAGAAGACAGAGCGTGTGGTGTTGAATGAAAGCTATCATTTCGCTTGACGTACCTGACCACACCCTGGACAGTAGTTACCGTTCTCACAGGTTCTGCGTCGCGACTGAATGCCTCCGCCGCAGGGCACGTTGCAGCGTTCCCATGCCGACCAGGCCGACCAGTAAACATGTGGCGGGCAGGGCAGGTGTTCGTTACAGTACCTGGGTGGGGAGAAAGAGGGGTATGGTTCTTTGTTTAAACTGTCAGACTGAGCAACATGATCTAACTTTCTGAAATGTGACCTAAATGTGTAATCAGTCAACATTCTAGTGACAAAATAAATATTTACAACCATATTTACTCTCAGCATTACATTAGAATATACAAACCAGAGTTCTCTAATAAACTAATAACTGTAATTTTTCTCAGGGATCAATAAAGTATTTTGAATTTTGAATTTAGTTAAAACAACTTTAGGTGTTTTGATTTGGAAATCAAAATAAAATGGTTTTAAATGGAGGTATTATGTATTTTACAGGCACATAGTTCAATTCTATACCACAATCAAGTAGTTATGTTACAGTACCTTCAGTTATATATCAAAAATAAAATTGACTGGCCTGACTAAATGCCTTGAAATTGACCTTCGTCTCTTTTAGAACCTCCTACCATTTCTGACACTCCCACTTCAGCAACAATGGTACGGGGGAGGGGTGCAGTGCGGAGTGGGAGCTTGGCTGGAGACTGAACTCAAGGGAGGAGCTTTGTACGAATAGGCGGCGCTTTGTACCAGCAGCTCCACATCTCCACCGCAGGAGATTCAACGATTTCTCAAACATGCATGAATGAGTCAAAGCAACACTCTGGGTATGTATTAGATGACGGAATGACGACATAACATAATATATTGCAAAATACCCCCCCCCCCACCCCCTTTAAAGCTGTATTTTTCTGATGATGATATAACAAAACAAACAAACAACAACAAGAAGTATCTGCTAAAATAAAAAAAAATATCTGTTGGAAAGTTTGGAAACTAAACCAGATCAGAGTGCTTGAACAAACCAATAAAAGAGATCATCTGAAGATGGGTTCTGTCAAAAAAAAACATGAAAAATTTATATTGTACTTGAATGACCTCAGCTTGGAGGAATCAAGTTCAGTTCCTGTCTACTCTCAGCTCAGAAAGGATTCAACTCCTCAACTCATCTCCAGAGTAATCAACTTTAAAAAAGTTCAGATTATCATTTAAATGATTTGGTTTCTCTATCTGTAATGAAAAAAAAAATACAATTATACATTTTAATCAAGCTTGCTAATCCTATCTCTTACTTTTCCATGCTGCCACTACCGGAGCTGGTGAAGAGTTCATGCACATCCTAACATATTTACTGCATTTAGTTCCAATTCTGTCAAACTAAGTTTAGGTCATAGACTTAAAGATGCCAATCAGCATCTGTCTGACCCAGAAAGCAGACAGCTTCCATTTCTGTGGACCTGTCGGGGAGGAATTTTGTTTGGCTCGGTTGCTGCACATGTCTGGTTTCTGGTGCCGCTCAAACGCAACATTAGGGCAAAATGATACAGAAAACAATCATTTTTTTTTATTTTTCTGCAGCTGCTGAATGAAAAAAAAATAAGACAAGAAAAGTTTGAAAGAAGAAATCACACATCAGATATTTGCAGCAATTAAAAGATGAGTAAAACCCATTGAGACATTTTCATGGACACAATTACACAAAGCAGGAAGTCTGAAGAGCTTCTATTCAGTTGAGAGCAGATCAAATTATAGTTTAAGTTTTTCAGATTCTCAGAGATAATCTGGTACTTAAATATAATAATTGTTGTTATTGTTTAAAACTGTTTTCACAAGTGCTTTTTTAGAGCATTAAAAGACACTTTAGATACAAAGAATACACAGTATTTAGCATTAAAACAATATTTTAGGACAATTGTTTTTACACAAATTCGATAAATTTATCCAAACTGCAAAATGTCTCATAACTTCATACACAAAAAATCTTCAGAATTGAGAAGCGACACTCTTGCGTCAAATAAAACTTACGTTAAATTTGAATCATAAACTGAACTAGGCCACTGGATCTTTTTTGTGATGTTTATGCATATAAATAAAAAAAATGCTCTGTCTATTTGCTCCTCTTGCTGTTGTAACAATAAACAGACATTGTGCTCCTTTTATATTGCATTATTTGAATGGATTGTATGGAATCCATGCAAATACGGGAGTTATGTGAGAGCATAATTTAAAAAAAATCAGACTGAATGACTGCAAGCTTATTTCAAATGACTGCTTTGCATAAAAATAGCATGCAAGCTTTATGACCACTTTATTCAACTGCAGCAATGTCACATCAAAGAGTAGTTCTCCAAAATAAATAAATAAATAAATAAATAAACATAACAACATAATTTTTATTGAATAGTCTCCAGCACTATTTTAGTTATTCGTTGGAAATTTGATTATCTGCTATAACTAAAGTTATGAAGTCCACATCATCACACTGATGAAACCCTGTCACTGAACTGGAACGGCTTCAGAAAGATCAAAATGAGAAAACTGAGATGTCGGAGAAAGCAAAGCAAAACAAAACAAAACAAAACGCTGTAAACTTCACTTAAAACAAACTTCTCCGGAGCAGCGAGTGTGTTTGATGTGGCGCCGGAGAACCTAGGGTGCTTTGTGTCAGAAAGAACCGGAAAGTGCAGCTAAGAAATTTACATTTCAAATCTTAAGAAACACAAGGTACATTGTAGTTTGCATCATTTTTTGAGGGATAAAGTGTATCTAAAATAAAACATATGCATTGGTTCCAATTATATTAGTTTACAAGACAGCATCACTTTAAAAACAATAATTAATTCCTCTAAATGAATAACCTACAGATGCAGTTTGCAAGTTTTTTATAAACTTCAAAGGAAACATATCCTGATTTTTAATCCTTTAATTTCTAACATTTAAATCCTTCAGTTGGGGTCTACAGTACCATAAAATAGAACTGTAATGCTTTGGTCTGAATTCCTCCGTAATGTAACTCCACAAGCCCCACCCCTTTTCTGAGGTGTGTCTCAACTCGTTTTGTGGCTGTCTCTTTAAATCCAAACGAGGCGCTTCACACCCGTCCCCCCAGCTTCCACCACAGTTAATTCTAGTTTGATAGAGGGGGTTACAACTCACTAGCAGCACATAAACCTTTTATTTACAAATTAAAAGATGTCAATAAGAGAAGACTTGTCATTGGGCACAATCTCTACAATGTTGGGAGTCACTTTTAGCTACTACAACCCCAACTTTTAGCTAGAAATCTGTAAGATTGGCAGAAGTAAATGCATCTGTTTGGCTCCAAAATTTAATCAGTGGTAGACGTTCATCACATGATTACAGAGAGCGAGAGAGAGAGAGAGAAACATTATGGCCCACCTACAGAACCTTGTTGGACCTAAATTATAAAACTATCTTTGATGCTGTTTTGTTGTTTTTGTACTCAAGAAAAGTGAGACCTCTTCCGCTTAAAAAAGTTTTAAAATTACACCCTTTACTTTTTAGACTGAAGTTGAATTTTTTCGTACTTTTCCCAAATGCTTTGTTATTCTTCATGGCAAAATCCTCAGAGCACTGTGTTGCCTTTCACTTTTGCTAATCTGTTTGCTTTTTGCGGGTTGCTGCAGTGTGGGGAAGTGAAGACCGAATTGCATTCGTGCACGCGTCTGAGAAAAGAAAACTAATACACATCTACGTTAACATTCATTCTGAGAGGCTTGCACGTGGACAAAATACCCCAGCACAGCACAATAATGAAAAAAAAAGAAAAAAAATCTGCAATCAATGCAGCAGAGATTATCTTGAGCTTCAAAATGATCATCGTACACACTAATCACACTAGAGAGTGGCTTTGCTCCATCTTATCCTTTTTTTTTTCTTTTCTGTAAAACACACAGGGCTGATCAGACTAAAACGAGGCTAATTACCCGGTACAGGCTGAGTAAGCAGTGTGGACGATGTCAGCGTGCTGAGGGAAATATTAACAGAAGGTTCATAAATGCAGGAATTAAGCATCCAGATTTAGGCCCGTAGCGCTGCTGTTTGTGTGTTTGGCTTCAGAACGTTTGCAGCAACTTTAACGGCTTTGCCTGCTGCAAACCATCAGGACCAAACTCACTGGTATTCATTGCTGCTTTTGTATTTCTTTTGAATGTGCCCGCGCACAGTTTATGTAAGTTTACAGACGTGCGAGTCTTCTGACGTAAATCTGAATAGAGCACTTCAGGAAACAACAGAACAACAAAGTGTGAACTGAGCCAAACGGGTGCCTCTGACAACCTTGTGCCTTTAGAAACCAAAAGCTTTTTCGCATCTTTAAAAGAATTTTTCAGAGCATGAAATCTGACAGAGTGCCAGTCCTCCCATGGCACAAAGACTCGCGCTCGTAAAGAAGACTTCATCGGTTTCACACATGGGTAACTGTAAACAACAGATGTGGAAGTTTTCGGACATACTTACAAAGGCTGAAGGGTGATTTTTTTTTTTTTATTATTCTGCTGACAGTAAACACTGGAGATACACCTGAGAGGTAATGTCCAAATCAAGTTCAACAGAGCTGGGCTTTCTTCTCTTAGCCTGGCTTGATATAGCCTAAAACTCCTTTTAGTTTCACATAAAAACGGGCACAGCGTGCTGCTTCATGCTGTTTCTTCTCAAAATACACCAGATAAAATAAGAAAAACAAAAACCTGCTTGTGAACAGGTTCTAAACTAATCCTCTCTTCCTGTGGTGACCTATCCTTCATGATACAACTTCGACTTTAAAGGAGACATATCATTCTTGTTCACATTCAAATCCTTCTGTTGGGGTCTATATAAAGTAGAACTGCTTTGGTCTGAATTTCTCCTTTTTTGTAGCTCCACAAGCTCCGCCCCTTTTCTGAGGCGTGTCTCAGATCAACTTGTTTTACGGCTGTTTCTTTAAATCCAATCAATGCTTTTCACACCCGCGCTACAAATTCCAGAGTGGTCCAATTGACAGATGGGTTTACGACTATATAGCTGCGCAGAAACGTTTTATTTACAAATAAATTAAACAATGTCAACGATCAGCATCAGTCTGTTAAACAAAACGAGCCAGAGCCAAGAGAAAATGTTGGATAACTGCAATGAGAGAATTTGCAGTTGGATTTAGGTTTGTTAACTTTTCTTTAGTTAACTTTTACTTTTATTTTCAGATGTTTTTATTATTTAGTTAACAAAACTGCTAGTAATGGGCATTTTTCAATATTTAGAGCATCAGAAAAAGTTTTGTAGGGGCAATGTTTTACAGCCAATAAGACTGCATGAAGTTTGTTGTTTCACTGCTAATACAACATTTGTGTCTAGTTGCATATTTAAAAAAAAAAACATGTATAATAAATGTATTTAACAGCTAAAAATGATTTTACATGATATGTCCCGTTTAAGTTTAAACTCTGCTAATTAAAAAAGACATTTTGTGCAGGTGATGAATTGCTGGTGGAAAAAAAAAAACACTTATGACTCAAAAAATCCTTGTCCATAATACAATTAAATCATAAAATATTCTAAACAAGTGAGTTTGAAGGAAAGTTTTACCTACAGTTGCAACATGAATACTCTTTTGTGTTCTGTGTTGAAGCATTTTAACACTGGATCCACAAAGGACTGAGCAACCTCAAGGTTTTTTTTTTAAGAAACAGTAGATCTTGGCATTTTCACACCGGTTTCACCTTTAAGCCTGGTAGGGTGACATATACGTTCAACACTCACAACTGTCCTCTGGCCAGAAAGCGGACTAACATGTTTTGAATGGTTGAAAAGAGCAAGCAGGAGAGGTGACACAAATGAGACGATGGTTCTGAGACAGGAACAGAAGGGGTGGTAATTTCTGCTTCTCGTTTCTTCGGTCAGTCAGCTGCTTTTTTTTCTCACTGTATTTTCTGTGTAACTGTGTTTTATAGTTTATTCTGAGAGGTTTTTTTTTCTTGGCTCCACAAAGCACAGTCCTTTTCTCAAGGACTGCTCTATCTGGAGCAGCAGCGAGCAAGAAAGGGAGAGGTCTGAGGTTAGCGAAGAAAGAGAAGAAAATAATGACTAAAATCTGACAAATAAAGAAGCATTGTAAAGATCTTAAAGTCAATATCCAATTACTTGTGTGAAAAGATGCTTTCCTTATTGCCACAGTAACAAATTACACGCCGTTCTTCTGCGTCTTCACCCTCTGATCTGCAGCTATTTGCACTTTTTTTTGTCATCTTGTCTGTTTAACAGGAGGTTAAAGCAGTAAAAACATGACAATGCTTCATTGTGTCGGGCCCAAAGAAAGAACGTCTCACAGCTCTAACAGACACCAGTCTTCTACAATAATGTAAAAAGGGGGATAAAAATAAGAATAAACAGGACTGTGTAATGTTCAAATACAGACAAAGTTGTCAAAACTTCTCTTTTAGGTTTGAAAGTTTAATCCGGAGCAGACCAAAGTGCCAAAACAAACCCTAAGAAGACAGTCGAAAACTAAAAACCAAATAAATAAATAAATAGCTCCTGACCTTTTCTACCTGTGCCGCTTTGTTCAACTCTTTTTTTTACTTGCTTTTTCTCCGTTATCTTCATGCTTTGAAAAGTTCCTTGGGAACCATAGATACGTCTTTGCAAAGGTGGCTATTCCACACTAATGCTTGAAGACACAGCCCAGTTTGTGTGTGGAAACCAGCTAATTACCCCAGCACAAGCCTGTCCCACTCACTCTCTAATTGGCTGTCATATAGCCGGACAGAAAACAGGAGAACGAGGGGGTGGGGGGTGGAGGGGTAAGAGAAGACTAAAAGTCACAACCAAAGTCAAGCTTCCCGACATCAAGTTGCAAATTGTTGGGTGGGGAAGGATGCTGTTTTTACTAGTTTCACAGTTTTAAATGTGTGCGCGTTTAAAAAAACCTGCCTATTTGCGTGTATATTTTTGATAAGCACACATCAGTCAACATATAAGTTTGTGCTGTTTACCTCTCCTCTCGGTTCTGGCCCACACACACCCGTCCTCCGTGGCGAGGAGTTGGGTTGCTGCAGGAGCGCTGACGCACCTGGAAGCCGATTCCACAGCTGGTGCTGCAGGGAGACCAGGACGTCCAGGGAGTCCACGCTCCGTTTCTACGGCGAAAGCAAAGCAACATCCATCTGTAACCGAGGACTCGTAAAATAAAAACGAAAAAAAAAGTAACAATACAAACTCTTAAAGCTAACAAAAGTGATTTCTGATGATACTCTGCTCCCCTACAAGCAGTTTCCAGCACGGATTTGGGGTTTTACTAAAGTCGCTGTTAAATATGAAACAAGTCTTAAACTGAGAATCCTTTCCTCATAACTGGGAGCTCACAAGAGAAACTAAAGCTTTAGTTCAAATGATGAGCAGCAGGATAAATGTTTAATTCGATAGGGCAAGAAAACTAGTGAGTATTATAAAACATTAAACAGAATCCAGCTGTAAAATATAAAGCTAAATAATTCATGCTAATGATCAGACATCAATCTGTCTTATGAAAACAGAACTTCAACTTTCAGCAAATAAAAATATGATTTGATTCACTGACAAAACAGAAATAATGTAAACTTTGAATCACTTTTAATAAGTTGAACAAATCTGATTAAAATATTGGATTATTTATTTTACAGAAATCCCTGAATGTGTCCCAGTTTTTACCCAAAACACAAATTCTGCCTGTTTTCTATTAAGACATATTTCTCTCAGATTTATTATTTTTTAAAATATTTGAAAAACTTTATGAAATCTCACATCTTATTTTCTTCAACATAATCCATACAAGTGTCTTGTTTTGCATGAAGAAGCTTTAACTGAGAGGAAAATCGAGGAAGGAGAAAGAAAGAAAAAAATCCCCTCCACCAATCAACACTTGTTAGCTCCAAATAGCTGACAGTGAAAACATAACATGGGACAATTAACAAAGTGCTGATTCCTAATGAATAGGTGTGAGAACATAAGAAAATAATCACCTGATTTTGTGCATCTATTTCTTCATGTCTCACTTCTTTATTTAGACCAAGGAATTTACAGAAAACCCAAAGGTCATGTCCTGTGAATGACGTTATGCGTAACCTCGTGCAATGTTGGGGTGAGAGTTGGGTTAGCTCTTAGACGTATGTGTTGAAGATGGAACTCAACTACTACCACACCAAATTTTAGCTGAAATTCTCCAAAATTGACTGAGTTACTACCATTTTAATGTTAGACTGATGACCTGTGGAGGCCATCTTGATATGTTAACTTCAATACAAACAGTGAGAGTTTCATTGAAATGAGTTGTTAAACTATTGGTGCCAACCCTGTCTAAGTTTTAGAAAACAAACATTGTTCAATCAGTTAGCACTTAGAACAGGGCTATTCAGCTAAACTGCACAGGGGCCCTCAGTTACTTAAAGCCATCAGCTGGTCAGGGGCCAGACATTTCGATAACAATAAACACTGTTTTATGTAAAATAACAAGTATTATTATATTTTACCTTTTAAATGTGTTTGTGTTGCATTGAATCATAATATTTTAAATTTAAAATTGATTTAAAATCCATTTTTATGTGTGTATGGGTGTGTGTGTTTTGTGTATATTACTTAGTGAGGCTGTAATTATTGTACGTATGTGTGGATGTTTATATGTGTGTGTATGTAATGTGACAAAATATGGAAAAGTTCAAGGGGTATGAATACTTTTGCAAACCACTGTATATGTTTATATGTGTGTGTATGTATGCGCATGTATACAGTATATATGTATATCTATATTAAAGTGTTTGGATACGTAGGTAGGGGAATATTTGTGTATATATTTATATATGTAAATGGGTATGGTTTTCAGCAAGGCTAAAGTCATTATAATTATATAGTTATGCAGTTTTGTTGCTGTGGTTTTGCTATCTTTGTTTTGTAGGTGTGGAGCCGAGAAGTCTGGTGTGCTGTCTTGTGTTTTCTCAACATATATTTTACATATCTTCTAATCTCTTTGTTTCTCTCTTTTTCTCAATGCATTTCACTTTTTTCTTTTTTCTTCCTTTTCTCCCAGTATTATAAAAAAAACATAAT